GAGAGAGCAGGGGGAGGGGCAGAGGGAGAGAGAGAAAATCTCAAGCAGAGTCCCCACTGAGCACAGAACCCGACTCCGGGCTCAATCTCATGACCCTGAGTTCATGACCTGAGCCAAATTCAAGAGTCAGATGCTCAACTGACTGAGCCACCCAGGCGCCCCTTTGAGGTATTTTTTATAAATCAGAATTTTGTTTAATTTTAAGCCAAATACCTTTTCACCCTCCATGAAGCCTATCAGATACCTTCATTCCCTTATTTAGACTTTAAATCAAAAGCTAGAAATGATTAAGCTCGGTGAGGAAAGCTGAGATGGGCCAAAAGCTAGGCCACACAACAAACAGTGGGCCGGGGCGAGAATGCAAAGGAAAAGTTGTTGGAGGAAATTCAAAGTGCCTCGCGGTGAACACGCGAACGATAAGAGAGCGGAACAGCCTCACTGCGGACGCGCTGAAGGTCTGAGGGGTCGGCCTAGAAGAGCAAACGAGCCACGACGTTCCGTTAAGCCAAAGCCTGACCCTGAGCCAGGCGCTGACTCGCTTCGGTTGGGCGAAGGCTGAGAGCAGGGAGGAAGCTGCAGGGGGACCGTCGGGAGCTGGCAGAGGTGGGTCCGAGAGGTGTAAGGGAAGACGCCGCCTCTGTAACATCAGGGTGCGAGGGGAGGTGGCCAGGGCTGGGGTAGATGCTGCAGCAAGTTCTGCGGGAGACCCAGCGGGGTAAGTGATGAAGGAGGCTACGCGGCGCAGCAGGTTTCCAATGTGGATGAAACGGCCTCTACTGGAAGAAGACGCCAGCTAGGACCCTCAGCGGCCGGGGGGACGTCAGTGCCCAGCTGCAAAGCTTCCAAGGGTGGGCTGACTGTCTTGTCAGGGGCTGAGGCAGCTGGTGACTTGAAGTCGAGGCCAGCGCTCATTGACCATTCTGGACGTCCCAGGGCCCTGGAGAGTCGTGTTCGTGCCACTCTGCCTGTGCTCCGTGAATGGAACAACAAAGCCTCGGTGGCAGCACTTGGGATCACTACGTGGTGTCCTGAATACTTTAGGTGCCCTGTGGAGACCTACCGCTCCGAAAAAAATCTTCTTGTCAAACCACGACTGCTCACCGACAATGCACCTGGTCACGCACGAGCTCTGATGGAGAAGTAGAACGAGACGATGGCTGTTTCCTGCTGACACGGCAGCCATGCTGCAGCCCGGGGAGCAAGGAGGCATTCGACTTCCAAGTCTTATTATTTAGGAAATACATTTTGTAAGGCGGTGGCTGCCATAGATAGTGATTCTTCTGATGGATTTGGGCAAAGCAAATTGAAAACCTGGCAAAGATTCGCCATTCCAGGTGCCACTAAGAACATTCGTGATTCATGGGAAGAGGTCAAAATATCAACATGAACAGGAGCTTGGAAGAATTCGATCGCAACCTTCATGGATGACTCTGGCGGGTTCAAGACTTCAAAGGAGGAAGTGTGGGGGAAAGAGCGAGAGAACTAGAACAGGAAGTGGAGCCTGAAGATGGGACTGAATGGCCGCCATCTCATGATCAAACTAACAGATGAGGAGTTGCTGCTCATGGATGAGCAAAGAAAGGGGTTGCTTGAGATGGAATCTACTCCTGGGGAAGACGCTGGGAAGATTGTTGAGATGGTAACAGAAGATTTAGAGCATTGCATAAACTTAGTTGATAGAGAAGCGGCAGGCTGGAGAGGACTGGCCAATTTTGCAAGAAGTTCTACTGTGAGTAAAATGCTATGGAACAGCATCGCGGTGATACAGAGAAATCATTCATGAAAGCAAGAGTCCATCCGTGTGGCCAACTTCACTGTTGTCTTTTTTTAAGAAATGGCCCCAGCCATTCCCACCTTCAGCAACCCCCACCCTGATCAGTCAGCAGCCACCAACAGTGAGGCAAGAGCCTCCACCGGCAAGATTACAACTCGCTGAAAGCTCAGATGATGGTTGGCATTTTTTTTAGTAATAAAGTATTTCTTAACTTAATACATGGTTATTAAACATAATGCTATTGCACATTTAATAGACTACAGTGTGGTGCAGATATGACTTTTGTATGCCCTGGGAAACCAAAAGATTCATTTGACTCGCTTTATTGCGATATTTGCTTTATTGGGGTGGTCTGGAAGCGAACCTGCAGTATCAGGTTTAAGGTGCCTGTAAATGTTCATATGTGTACTGTGAGTTGTTTTAGGGTGTCATTCTTTTCAATTCATGGAACTTCATTCTAATAGAATTGCACTTTTTACTTGTATTTGTTATATTGTAAGATGCAGCCATGTTGGCATGCTTGCATTTACTTATATCTATTAATGCTATAAGATGTGCATCTTCCTATTTGTATGTTTTTGTATATATTTCTATGAGCATGTAGAACCTTTTGAAATGTACTTACTAGTCTGATTGCATGGGTTGCCTGAATGGGAGCAGGCAACCATAGAGTGAGTACGAACACAAAGGGGGAAGACAAACAAGCTCACCTCTGGGGATGGCCTGGGTGGGTTCTGGTTCTCCCTCATATGCAACTTGAGCTTTCCAGGATCTAATGGCCAGAAACTTCTAAAGTGCCCACTTTTCCCCCTTATTTTGTGGGTGTATGAATATTTCTATTACTTATAGGCTGATGTTCCCAAGTACAGAGAGTGAGAAGAAGGGGTATCCTTGTGCATCCCTGTGTTTGGGTGGGCCTCCTTCTCACCAATGGACGTGGGTGGGGGTGGGAGATGGGTTAGAGCTGAGGTGGCAGATAGGTTCTATGTCATGTGCCATTGCATTGCAGGTCACGAGTGTGGACCTTCGGCCCTATCTTCATCTTCAGCTCTCCTCCCACCACACCCATGTTCCAGTCCTGGCAGGATAATGGTATAGAGTTTATTCTCAGGGTTCTCGGGCTTCCCCACCTCAAAGGTCTGTGTGTGCCCAGACTGGGGTAGGGCTGGGCCCAAACTGGAGTTACCCGAACACTTAGGCACATTCAGGGAATTGATGTTCTAGCAGAGTTCGGTGGGGGCACAACCCTCATGGCTTTGCTGTTTACCTCCCTCTCCCACTTCCTTCCAGAGGTTCCCCCCGCCGCCCCTTCCCTTTCCTGGAAGACTCGGGGTTCCATGCAGGGTGCTTGTATCTTTAGAAGGAGCCACGATTTTTGCTAGTCAGCCTTCAACGCACCTGCTGTCCCTTTCTCAGAGGACTTGAGTGCCTTATCAGAGTTGGTCATGCTTACTCATTTAAGGGAAGCTGCATCAGAGCACAGAGAGGACCCAGTCCAAATGGCACTTGGCCCTCAACAGGCACTTAGTGTTTCATGGGCGATTGGTGTCCTTTCATGCTTCTCCCCAGTGGAAGGTGCCTCCTCTGGAGAGGTGGTTGGACATATCAAACAACACAAGGAAGGCGATTAGGTACAAAATACTCATGTATTTATGAATTCATGACCAAATTAAATATGAAACCTTATATAAAAAGAGGTGTGTGTGTGTTTTCTCCCCCACCCTCCCACTCTCCTCTGAAGCAGCTTTGAGCGACACGAGTACAGTGTGTTTGTGTGACTTGTCCTTCCCGTCTCCCTGCATTTCCAAATGCCAGGTTCTTGGGGGACTGGAATTCTGCCCCTCCTCCCTCCTTCTCTCCTGGGAGGTCACCTGCCCTGGCCTGGTTCCCCCGCAGTCTCCCCAGGTGGTGTCTCTGGTTTGCACCTGGGCCTGCTGGGCCCCCAGGGTGTGGCTAGGAAGGGGCAGTGGGTCCCTGAGGGGTGAGCCCACCCTGGTTGCCGGGATGGTCCTGTGGCTCCTCTCTCATGGGCTCGCTGCACCCCCTGGGCCTCCCTGACACTCTCTCTCCCCTTGGCCTTTTTGCATCCTCATCGGCAGGCCATACTGCTCAGCCCCCCGTTCCCCTTCCCCCCGGATTTTAGGTTTCTGCTTTCCCTCTCACCAGGAGTTCCCGGGAGACCCCATGGCCACACCTCTGGTTCCCTTCCCCAGAGAAGGGTGCTGGGTGCAGAACTGCACCCTCCTTGCGAGCCGCCTCGTGCCCTGCCCCCTGGCTCCTCAGCCTCGCCCTGAAGCCAAGGATGAGAACTCAGCTGGCAGGAGCACACGTCTGGCCTGCCAGCCAGCCAGCCACCCTAGAGAAGGGGAGGCGGCTCAGACAACAGGGGGTGCCGCCCTAGACGTGCCTGGCCTGCCACCTCCCACTCCTTCTCTTGACAAGGACTTACCATCAGATCTCTAGGTCTCAGTACCACAGAATTGTTCCAGACTTTTCCTGTTTCTGGGTTTGCTTGACCCCAGACCTGAAGCCAGGGTCTTGCTGGTGGAGCCCACCCCAGGCTTCCACTCGTCATCAGTGGGACTCTGGCTTTTAAGACGACATACAGTGTGGGGGCTGAAATATGGGTCAGGATCACAAAACCGGGAGAAGTAAAATGTGGCCCAACTTTTCCCCATGGGGTTACAAGCTGCTGTCTTACCTCCCACAATCCTCCAGTCTGGTCCCCCTCTTCCTGGGACTGACTTTGCTTTGCCCCTGCTCACGTTTCCCCTTTTCCTCCTTCCCTTCCCGCCCCCCCTCCCCCAACCAGCACTAAGGTCATGTCCTATGATCCTCTGGCCTCGGCATTACCGGACTCCTATTCTCCAAGTCGGTGCCCTTTCCCCTGACTTTTGACCCCTCCCCCCCCCATACACACACACATTCACATCCTGGGAGGAGGAGGAACAGATTCTCATGATGGGCCAAGCAGGGGTCCAATACCATGTTCAAGCCCTGAGACCCCCCCTGCCCCTGCCCCCGAAGCCTCCATCCCAGCATGCTAACTCAGAACTCGTGCTGTCCCCAGAGCCAGCCGGCAGGGTGTGGGCATCCCCAGCCGCAATGGGTGACAAGTCCTTTCCCCAGAGGCACTGGAATGACTTCCACGGCCTACACTCTTGTCTCGTCAACACAGAGGCCCCGCTTTGTAAGCTACAGAGGGGCTTTTTCTGTTCTTGTTTCTTTTCTTTGAGGGGCTTGAGGCCAACATGTTTTTGTTGGTGGTGATTTTGCTGTTGTTTGGGGGTTTTTTTGTTTTGTTTTTTTGTTTTTTTTTGCTAATTTTGCCCCACCGTGCTAAGAGGCCATGCTAACCAGAGGCAGGGCGAGGAGCCCAGAGAGCATGGGGCTGCTGCACCCAGGCCCCCCCCCCCCCACTTTCTCCTCTCCCCTGTTCCACCTGTTTCCTTTGGTTCCCATCTCTGGATCTGAGTGGTGAAGCACAGGGAGGGAGAAGTTTCTCACAGCACCATGAGGCACTGCTCCTAGGCCTAAAGCTCTGACCAGGCTCTGCTATCCTTGATCAGGCCTGGACACCTACCGCCCTGGGAGGGAGGGATGCTCGCCAGAGTGCAAGCCTTCCCACTTATGGCCTCGGCAGCTGCACCCCAGGATGTGGAAGCATCGAGTTGGGTCTGAAGGCTTCATTTCTACCCTGACTTCTCCGGTGAGGAGCTGAGTAGGCGCTGTGTGGAAATTGCCCACAAAACATCTGCCACCCGCAGGTCCATGGTTGGAAAAACGTGGTCAAGAGAGACAGGACCCTCCCTGAGCACAGCCACTCCCTGGGAGGGGGCTGCCTCCACAGACCGAGCCACAGAGCCTCAAGGCTGGGAGTCTCCCATGGACGCCAGCGTTCTCCATCCCAGAGTCAGATGCCAAAGCTCTCAGTGCCTTCCCTCTCCCCACTTCCCAGCAGCCGTCTGCCTCCCTGCCCTGCTCTGGAACTGGGGTCCCCTGCAGAGGGTCCCCGTACTGATCCACAAGGCCCCCCTCCTCTCTTGCTGAGCTACGTCAGCTGGTGAGAACAGCTCTGCCCTTAGGGTCCTGGTTACGTGGGTCCCCTTGTCCCTGGAAGGTGGAGGGGGCGATGCAGAAGAGCAGAGGGGCAAAGGCGAGTGGGGGGAACAGCAGCAGGGTCGGAAGAGGGTGGCAGCATCTCAGACCACAGCCGAGGAGGAAGATGGGGATGACGAGGAGGCCGCAGAAGAGGACGGTGAGGAGGGACTGTTCCAGAACAGCCACCGCCGCTTGGGCTGCCGTTTCAGGTGGAGATAGTCCTCCTTCTCGCGCTCCTTCCGTGCCCGCTGGTAGTGATCTTCTTCCTTCAGGTACCAGACGGGCGGCCACCGGTGCTTCTCGAAATACTCCTGGTTTTCTGGAGCACAACGCAGTAGGGCTTGGTTAGAAGGCCGGCAGGAGAAGGGGGCAAGAGGAGCACCGGGATGTGGGGGGTGTCCAGGGCCACCCGCCTACCCCCCGACACTTCTGCCCTGGGGACCATCCAACGCACGCCCAGTCCCAGGGGCCAGAGTATCAGCCCTGCCTTTGGAGCGCTCCATGTAGCTGCAGAGCTTCCTCCTGGGGAAAGGCACTTCCGCTCTGCTGGGCTCCGGGACAGAGGGACAACCTAGATGGGCTTCCCGTGCGCTGGGAATGAACTAGGCTGGGACGGAGCGGGAGGAGGGAGAAGGGCAGAGAGGTGCTGGGCCCAGCTGGGGTGGCAGCACAGGCGGCTGGCAGAGCTGGCTTCTGAGGGCAGTGGAGGGAGGGCTGCAGGAGGACAAAGAGGGTCAGCCTGGAGGGAAGGCTAGGCTGAGGGGTTCAGACTGATTCTGGAAGGCGTGGAAGGCGTGGAAGGTTTGGACCAGGGCGGTGATGTGGTTGGAGCTGTGCTTGCGGAATAAGATGCCCGCAGGGTGTAAAGGAGAGAGTGGGGATGGGGCCGGTGTGGTAGGACCTGGCAGCAGGGAGAGCGCGGGGTGCCCAGTGAAGACCTGAAGAATGCACAGTGGCAGGAACTCGGGGGGCCACGACACCTCTCCCAGAGCCCATGCACTTCCTGTTGGGCCCCAGGACTGGGGACATTAATTAAGCAGAGGTGGAACTGCAGGGACCTCAGAGGATATCTGGACCTGGGCGGTCCAAGCTGTGCCTATTTCTAGGTTGTGAAATCAATGTGGTGGGTCATAAGCCGCATTAAAAATAATTCATGTAGTTTTCTATATGTGTACTGGCTCACAACAAAATATATTTCTTATTGTGGAGCCCTCTCTCAAAAATACCAACTCCGAAAAAAAAAATACCAAGTCTGAAATACCAAAATACACCTCCCCCCCCAAAAATACCAGGTCTGAAAAATACCAAAAGTCCAACACCTTCCTTGTACTTGTAAGAAATAGGAGCCCAGAGAGGTAAAGTGAATTGCCTGAGGTCCCCAGCTGCCCTGATCTTTTCCTGGGCTCCCCCCCCAGCTCAAGTCCAACCCAAGGGTCTCTGGCAGCTTCTGGACGCCCTGGGGTCGAGTCAGAGATCTGGCCCCTTTGGCATGCGGAAGGAGCATGCACAGGTCCTGCAGGAGACGCTCACCTGGGGACATGGCCTTCATGTCTCGGGGGAACTTGCGGCACACGTTGTTGTAGTTGGTGCAGATGTGGTGAAGACACCAGTCGGCCAACTGGTACGCACAGTGGAACTGGGGACAAAGAGGAGCACCTACGCTGGAGCCCGGGAAGGGTCCACATAGACACCCATAGTTGTCCTCAGAGCCCAAGCTTTGGTGCAGATGGGCAAAGCCCCACAGTTGTAACGAGCCCGTCTTGAGAGGCAAACCCACACGGAAGTGTGAGAAAACACTTAATTTGCTCCTTGGCATCACCACCGCCGCTGTCACATCAGGTCACCTCTGCCCCGCCCTCAGCACCCACAGAATCCACAGATGCGTGTGGTGCCGTGCTCCTTAGATCCCTCCCCGGAGATGTCCTCCGCCGCCCACTGGGGGCCAGGGCAGCCTGCACGGAGGGGTAGACGGCCAGGCTCCGAGAGCCGACTCCGCCCACTGTGTCCGCGCGCCTCAAAGCTGCAACGTCCGCTTCACGAGCTGGCTTCTAGTGCCAGAACCGATGCGCTCGGAGGGCCGTGCGTGACACTTTGCTTGTTTGCTCGGGAATAAGGAGGTGGGCAGCTCACTTTGGATGAAGAGTCCTCAGTGACCTCAGGCACGCTGCAACCATGTGAATGTACGAGACTGGGCTTCTGTCCCCTGCCCTACGGCGGTCCGAAGCCTCAGTCCCTTCCCGCCAGTCCCTTTCCTCTCGGCATGTCAGAGTGAATCCTCTGGCACGGAGGATGAGGCAGGCCCTGCCCAATCCGGGACCCAAGTCCAACAGCGGGCTCCCTTCCTACCCACCGCCTGCCAGCCTTCTTCAGTCCCTGCCAACGGGCAGACAGAGCCCAGAGTCAAGAACGTCGGAGAGTCCTTCCCCTGCCAGCGTACCTGAGCCAGTTCTAGGAACACGAGGACGTCCCCATCAATGTCCACCATCATCTGAGTCGCTTCCATCAGCCCGCTCACCGTGTACCGCTCTGTGATATACACAGTCGGGAATCAGCTGAAGAGCCACGTGAATGGACACGCGCTCCCTTTTACCCCCAGCAGGGACCCACTGCAGGGCAGAGAGACACGAGGGCCTACCGGCAAGTCCCAGCAGGCCAGGGAAGACCACAGGTGATTGAAGTCTGCTCCACCAGTGAGGAAATTGGGATTACAGCAAGACTTTCCCAGTGGAGCGGGGTTGGGGAAGTAAAGGTGGATATTAGTTAGAATCAAGTAGGAGAACTGTTCCAACTACATTTGTTGCCCCCAGTGGTCTGGTTTATGTAGGGTGAAAGCCCCCAGCAGAACCAGCCGTTGACACTGATGAGAGCGGGTGGTAACTCCCAGCTGTGCTTAGAACTACAAATTACAACTATGGATTGAATCTAGTTGTTTGTGTTCACTGAAGTTTTGTAACAAATTGTGAACAAACCTTATATTTTATGTTAAAACATTTATATTAAAGAAGTAAGCATTCTTAATCCTGAAGTTTAACTGTATCAGTATAAACTCATGAGGTATCTTATCTTCATGGGGGCGCCCAGCTGACTCAGTTGGTTAAGCACCCGACTCGTGATTTTGGCTCAGGTCATGATCTCAGGGTTGTGAGATCAAGCTCCCTGTCAGGCTCCACACTGGGCATGGAGCCTGCTTAAGATTCTCTCTCCCTCTGCTCCTCCCCTACCCCTGTTCATGCTCTCTCTCTCTCAAATAAACAAACTTTCAAATCTATTTCCCAGATCTAAGAAAAGACCTAGAAACAAGAGACAAGAATGCAGTAGTAAGGTGCATCCCTAATGCTCAGATTATAGTCTTGAAATACCATGTCCAACTATAAGAAACAGATTCTCAGAGAACTGGCTGATTCCAGGTCTGCGGCAGGAGATGTACAGAATGAGCCTGCAACATCTTGTCATTCCACACAACCAGAAAGCTCATTCTGGTGCCAACCTGAAAAGACTCCTGCTGGCAAAAGGTGCAGTGTGGTATTTCAGCTTCAATAAAGATAACTGTAATTATTTGAAACCAATCGAGTATGTGTGTAATAACACTTAAAAATAAAAACTGATTGGACACCCGCAAAGGGTGATGGGAAACAAATTTATCTCGAAGACCGGTAAATAAAAGGATACAATCAAGCATTCATCTGCCCTTCCTATATGAACCACACCACTGGGTAAGCAAAGAGTAGGTGAGGGGAAGCTGCTCTCTTTTTCAAAGTATTCCAACAGACAAAGAAGGAATGATTGAATTGGTATATTATCATTTCACACCGTCTCATAAATCAGTAGATGCAGGCCATGATACTCAGTGGCTGCTAACATCACAAAAAGATCACAAAAAGAGACAAAACTTCTTGATGAAAAACAGAAATGGGGCACCTGGCTGGCTCAGTGGGTGGAGCATGTGACCCTTGATCTCGGGGTTGTGAGTTCAAGCCCCACACTGGGTGTAGAGATTACTTAAAAATAAGATCTTAAAACAAAACAAAACAGGAATAACCTATAAAATAGTTTTAGCAAAAGAAAATTGAATATGAATCTGATCTATCCCCTAGACCCAATGGCCAATCAGTGAAAAATCTAGATTTTCTGGAACATCAGTGGGTTTCTTCCAATAAACTGCAAGGGAAAAAAAATTTTAATGGACAAGGAACCTTTAGATTAGGAGAAATTTAAAAGGCATTTAAAAAATAAGACCATGCTCTTAAAGCAGGAGGGGAAGAATGAAGGGGGGGAAATCGGAGGGGTAGAAGAACCATGAGAGACGATGGACTCTGAAAAACAAACTGAGGGTTCTAGAGGGGAGGGGGGTGGGAGGTTGGGTTAGCCTGGTGATGGGTATCGAGGAGGGCACGTTTTGCATGGAGCACTGGGTGTTATGCACAAACAATGAATCATGGAACACTACATCTAAAACTAATGATGTAATGTATGGGGATTAACATAACAATAAAAAAATTAAAAAAAAATAAGACCATGCTTTGGTGTTTAAGGATGCACACATGGAAGATAAAACTATGAAGAGTAAGAAGTGAGGCCAATAAAAAATACCCTACAGAGGAGTAATAGGCAAAGCGTTACTCCTGAGGACAGGGATGGACTTGTGACTGGCGGGGACAGGCAGAGGGCTTCTGCTATGGCCGGCAAGGAGCTAGCTCCTGATATGGGTCCTCTGACTCTATAATAATTCATGAAGCCGAACGTGTTTCATGCATTTGTGCTCTATTGAATAATGAAAAAGTTTTAAGCTTGAATTAATAACTTCATAGCATATCTCCCGAAACCTAGAGCATCACCAAATATACCATGCTCAGCATTTCCCGCTGCTCCTTGACAAGGCATGTGCACGACACACATCTGTATACTTTGTCATTCGTATGGACCGTCTCCCAGAAAAGTCATTCAATGGGTATTTTCTATAAGCCTCTCCACACAGTGGCGCAGTGTAACATTTGGAACAGCTGACTTGTTTCTGATCGCCCACCATGATGAAGCAAACTTACAGGAACATCTTTATACATATTTTGCCTTTGGGTCATGTCTTTGGAAATAGTCTTTCAAAAGGTGAATTACTAGGTCCAAGAGTTTGGAAGTTGGCTGTGCTCTGTGAAGACCACACCACTTTCCACGGGCAGCTACGGTGGATGTACGTTTCAGCTGTGATCTGTAGAAGCCGCTCTTGCTCCCCACCCTAAAGCCCTTTGTGTCTCCAACTAGGACTCTCTCGGTAGGCTCAGCTCTTAACAGTCAAATTCTGATCAATGCTTTCTTCCTTCTTCCTATGACCAAGCCCCATGTTATAACTAATTTCTCATCATGGTATTGCTGTTTTCCTCCTATGTGAGTCCCAGTCTTGATCATTGGTCCAGTGCCCCAGCAGCTCTGATGCTAGATCCTTCCCTGGATCTCAGCTCAGTATCTAAGGCTCTGCCCTCTGGCCCCTGACCTGCCCAAGAACACGAACCCTGACATCAACATCAACACCAACACAGTGCAGATACCAATTCCAACGTTTGACAGCACTCCCTTCATCTGGATAGTGCCATTCCTCTTCTCCAGCCCCTCGGCCCCCTCCACCACCCCCCACTGCCTGCTGCGCAGTTTCCCCGTGGCCTCAGGCCCTGCTCCAGCCCAGGGCCTCCGAAGTGGGCCCATTCTAAAAGCTGAGCTCCAGCTCTCATGGTCTTTTCAAGGAACTAGGGATGGGAGGTCAATGTTTATTGTCTGCTTCTGGAAGAGAGAGAAAGTGAAGATGGAAGAGGAGGAGGAGGAAGAGAAGAAGGATGAGAAGGAAGAAAAAAGGCAGAGGAGGAGGTGAAGAACCAAAGGGGAGCAATGAGGAATGGTGTTCTATTCCTCTTGACTTAAGCTTGCCCCGCTGAAGCGAAGCTGATGGAACACCAGCGCTGTCATCTACTGGAGAACGCTTGGTGGGGCCCATAACCCTTTGCGGAGAGCCTATCATGTGACACCATCCTGTCTCTCACACGTGCTTCTTTACATCTATGTCCTCACCCAAACCCCAATGCGCATCGACATATTTCACTTTATGTCAACACATTCCCTTGGTGCTCGCAGCCTGTCCCCTGGGGGGAGGCAGGTGAGAGGAGAAATCAGGACCTGGGGGGGGTGGTTTCCCTGGCTTCTCCCCCAGAGGGGTCCCCGTGTACCTGTGAGGGCAACCAAGTGCGGCAGGCAGAGGCGGTTGGCCAGGATGATGAGCTTCATGTCGTCCAGGTCGGGACTGGAGGTGAACATGCCCGTGTAGAGGTATTCCAGCACCGCCCTCATGCAGCTCTTGCTAGTGCAGGGGAACACCACCTGCGGGGGGAGGGAGACAGAAGGCCTCAGGGAGGCCCAGCCTTACGGAAGGAGGAGCTCAGGCCGGGGAAACTCAAAAGGCCCTGGGCCTCTTGCTGGCTCCACCAGATGGGCAGCCATCCCTGAGCTGCCCCTGTACCAGCTCTGAAGGCCCCCCAAGGCCTGTCTCCCACAGCAAAAACCTGCACTGAGCCCGCACGCTGACCACACCAGTGAGCAGCGCTCTGACATTTTAAAAGGACCTGGGTTCAGGGCGCCTGGGTGGCTCAGTCGGTTGAGCCTCAGACTCTCGAGTTTGGCTGAGGTCATGATCTCAGGGTCGTGAGATGGAGCCCCACACTTGCTCAGTGGGGAGTCTGCCGGAGACTCTCTCTCTCCCCGCCTCTGCTCCTCCCCACGTTCACGAATGTGCACTCCCTCTCTCTCTCTCAAATAAATAAATAAATATTTAATTAAGAAAGAAAGAAAAGGACCTGGATTCTCACTGGCACGCTTCCAAAGCTGTGCTGGCTTGGAAGATGTTTGGAGGAGTCCTTCCTGCCGCCTGAACCCACACACCCTGGCCCTTCCTGGCCTTACAGAGGGCAGTGCAAGTGGGGTACGAATGAGCCAAGCCAACACCAGCTGGCTTCTTGCTGGCTGCCTGAAGCTGCTGCTTTGGGCCCCTGGGATCTCTTCCGAGCAGCGCTGCAATAAAACCTGCTTTCTCATCAGACACGAGTCTCTCCGGGCTGCATGGGAGTCATCTGGAGCTCTAACCCGGCTTCTGTGGCACCAAGAAGCGCCTGGGGCGGGCCAGCCCCTGGGGCTCCACTCACAGAAGCCAAACCCACTCATGCTTCAAGGATCAGACCAGCTCACAGCTCAAGCCCTCCACTTAGCCTTCCGGACGCACTCCCTTCCCGGAAATCTTAAGAAACTGTCATTCTACGTCACAGGATGCTATCCTGTGTTGTTCGCAGCCCCATCTTTCCCTCAAGTGTCGGGTGAGCTCTTACTAAGGGACGTGCAGAGTGGGGCTGGAGAGAGCGGGAAGGGAAGAAATCCCAGACCAGGCAAGAAAATGGTGTGTGGACCCCCAGAACCTCAAGCAGTTGCACAAAGTTGTACCTTGTTAACTGCGAGGCTGACTGTGGCCAACTAACGGTACAGGAGTTCACAGAAAAGAGAGAACACCGAGGGCCCCGGCCTGAGCTACTCTGCTCGGCTGCGCGAAGGGAAAGGAGAGAACAGACTGAAGAGACTATTTCTAAGGATGCACTGATAGGCCCCGTCCAACTCGGTGTTTCCAGTCTCAGTGCCTGAGAAAGTGGCCATAACGGTGACGGAAGAGCCGAGTCGGAGCAGTGCTGATTAAAGGGAAAGGTGACTGTCTGAAGCATTTCTCTTTATGGTCTGAGTTCTGCTGCTTTGACATCCGGGGCCTTGCTGACCCAGCGGGGCTGCCCCTCCCAGGGCTAGCCAATGCTAGCCGGAGTAAAGGACACGCTCAGCATGCTTTTCACATGCAAACCAACCAATCCTGTGTCCACACCCCAACCACCTCCTTTATCAGGCTCATTCCCTCAACCACTATCCCCTGCCCTAGTCACCCCAAGGCCAGGTACCAGATGACTTGGGACAGCCCCAAAAGCCTGCTGAAATTATTCAGACTAGCCAATCCTAAGCCTGCTCCCCCTGCCTCACCCGTTCCTTCCCATAGAAACTACAGTGAAGGCTCTTGTTCGTATCCCCTTCACTCCCTTTGCCTCCAGACTGACCCTGGTGCTTCCCTGTGTGGTCCCCCATACCGTGCATGCCCCCGCCTAGTGACAACTGGGAGTATAAAAATCTCCCCGTCCAATGGCAATTTTCTGACTGTGGGCTTCACTGTACCTAAGTGATAGTAAGACTTACATTTAAAACAGTGATAGAGTCACGTTGGCACACTGAATTTTTTCCCCTTGGCTCACATGTGTTAGGGAGAAAGCAAGGTACAACGTATAGAGCCAAGGAATCGGGAGCCTTGAGTTCAAGTCCAAACCTCTCCTTTCTACTTATATAACTTTGTACCAGGCACTTAACTTCCTGGGGACTCACTTTCCTTGTAAAGTGAGAACACGACGCCACGTGTAGGAGTTGTGTGTGAGGTGAGACACGAGATAATGATCAAAAGTGCTTTCTATACCATAAAGTGAAGATGTCACCATAATCCCCTGTCTTGAAATTTCGTAAGATCCTTGGCTATGGGAGCCATCTCTTAAACTTATCTTGAGTCTGTCACTCAGGGTGAGCAAGCACAGTCAGTAACTGAAGGTAGTACTAACTGAAGGAAGTAGCAGTAAATGGCAGATGCCTCAGGTGGGAAGGGTGTGGGTCTCTCTCTCCTTCCCACCTATTCCCCTCCTAGTCTTACCTCCCTGGTGGAACTCTCCACAAATGGCCCCCCAAACATGGCGGCCATCCAGTCACAGCTGGAAATCAACAGGGGCTTATGGGCGCTGATGGTGCCATCATCCAGGATGAAGGTCACATCTGTCCGGAAGGAGAAGAGGCATCACGTGAGGATATGGTGAAAGGATGTGGGAGAACCCACCCCAAAGATTGACACCGTGCCCATACAACCCACTTCCTTCTGAAGCCATTCATGTAGAGTGCTACCTGACCAAGCTCTCGGGCTTGGGTACTAGGCTTCAGGAGCAGAGCCACCCCATCTCCAGGACATCAGCAGCTGAGATGACTCAGAATGCTAACTGGACCAACGCAGACTCTTCAGAAGGCTAACTGGAGGGAAGTCCCCTGCCCTCTGGCAGTCAGTTCCTAAGCACAAGCCATACCTGAGAAGGTGCCTTTTGCCAAGCACTCCTTAACCCGGTTAGTCCGGCGGACATGGAAGGCCTTAGTGATCTCTTGGTTCATGAACGCCTCATTGTTGAGAATGTTGGCCACCATCATGCGCAGATCAAAGACTTCAAGCAGCTCGGCAATGTGGGCGATGTGCATGAGGTCGCGCTCGTTCTCGTCCAGCTCCCCGGTGTACAGGTACTTGAGAACAGCCCGGAAGGGCCCTGGCTGGATGGAGTTGTCCATTTTTACCACCACCATCAGCCGGGATTTGTACGTCAGAGGATCTTCTGCCATTTCTTCCTGAATGCTCACGAAAGCTCGGCTCCAGGAAGACAGGACTCGACCCCTCCCGGGCAAATACCCTGTTCCATTGCCCCGTAAGATCCCGTCGCTGGTGGAGGCACGGAGCCCAGCAGGGCCAGAGCCCCCACCCTCCTCCACGCTCTCGCACACATCAAAACTGGCTGCCCGCAGCAGGAAGTCCCGGCCATGGTGGTGGTGGTGGTGATGGTGGTGGTGCTGATCAGGGTGACCCCGGTGGTCCTCTGGGCGGGGGCCCCCCAGCTCCCCCTCACTCAGGTCCATGAGGAACAGGTCGTAGAACTTGGAGGAGGAGGTGGAGAGGTAGATCTTGTGGGCAAAGATGCGCACCCGCTCCTGCAGCACCAGAATGACATCCGCACAGAGCGGGTCCTCCAGGAGGTGGGCGGGGCACTCCTCGCTGCTGGAGGGGGGGTCGGGCACCACGATGATGGGGGGAGGCGGCTTGGGAGGCAAGAAGGGCGCCTGCAGCAGAGGCCGCTGCACATTGCGGAGGTGGGATTTCCAGAACTGCAGGTGGCGGCGGGAGATGAGCGCTGCGCGGATGGCGTTGTCAAAGACGTCCTTGATGCCAAACTGGGCCACCACGCTGGTCTCGTAGTAGGGGATGCCCAGCTCCTTGGCCACCTCCCGGCCCTTCTCTGGGGGAAGGATCTCATTGGGCTTGATGGGCCTGGCAAGAAGGAAGACCAAACATGTTGGCAGGAGAGGAGGAGAGGGGAGGTGCAGGGAGAGGCAGCTCTCCAGAGCCTGCCTGTTCTTTAGGGGACTGCTCAGGGTCTGTCTCGGTCCGACTCCTGCCCTTTCTCCTCTGTCTAGTCAAATCTTATCAGTCCTTCAAGGCCCACTTCCAATCCCCTCTTCTTTATTTATTTATTTATTTATTTTTTAAAGATTTTATTTATTTATTTGACAGAGAGAGTCACAGCGAGAGAGGGAACACAAGCAGGGGGAGTGGCAGAGGGAGAAGCAGGCTCCCCGCCGAGCAGGGAGCCCAACGCGGGGCTCGATCCCAGGACCCTGGGATCATGACCTGAGCCGAAGGCAGACGCTTAACGACTGAGCCACCCAGGCGCCCCCCAATCCCCTCTTCTTGCAGGAAGCCTTCCGTATTTATGCCAGCCCCGCGCCCTTCCCAGCTCAAAGCAGTGGCAGCACTAACCACCTCTCTGGCAATCAGCATGCCATGTTCCACGCTGGTTTTTAACAAGGCCATATATGGAGTTCATCTCCCAGCGGGATCATAAGCCCCATTTGTGCAAAGACTACCTCCTTTTCTCCTTCCCTCCCATGGTGCTTAGCCCAGGATTGCTCACACAGGGTATAAGAGATGCATGGATGCATGGATGAACAAATGAACGAATGAATGAATGGGCACTCTCTTTGGCCCTCCACATGCCTTGCTTCAAATGGAGGGTGAGGTGTGAGGCCCAGTGGATTCCCTCAGGGCTGAACAGGGAGCCAAGGAGATGCAACCCCTCCCTCTGTCTTCCTCCTTCCCCCGCCCTAGCACCAGCACCCCCTACCTAGCCAAGGGTCGCCTGGCCCTATTGACAGCCTCCAGGTCAGCATAGCGCAGGTCCAGCTGGCAGCCCACCAAGATGACAGGTGCTCGGGGGCAGAAGTGCTTGATTTCTGGGTACCACATGGTCTTGACGTGGTGGAGGGAATTAGGGTTGGCAATGGAGAAGCACAGAACCACCACATCGGATCTGGGGGTGGGAGAGGGAGGTTATGGGCAGGGAAAGCTAGTGGTAGGTTACCTGCCCCTGGAACAAGGGAGAACACGCATACCCACCCCACCCTACAACACTACATTCCACATCTGTCACAGGCATCTGCTCACGTGACCTTACACAGAATGTATAATAATAGGACCTCTAATTTATATACCTCTAATTTAGCATTTTAGAGCTTCCGAAAAACCTCATTTTGACCTCATGGCTATCTTATGGGTTAGAAATTACCATTTCACAATCCATGGCTGAGGAAAATCAATTCAGAACAGTTCCCTTAATTGCACATAGTCCCAGAGCTGAGAGGTAGCAGGGCTAAGAGTCCAACCTGGCCTCCTGACTCCAAACCCGGCTCCTTCTACTGCCCAGGGCTGCCTCCCCTGTGAGGGTCTGCCATGCTGTTTTCTCTGCTCCCTCCTCCCAGCTGAAATTTCACAGCATTGCTGTTCCTTGGGAAAGCAGGGAAAACCTACCCACCTGGCTCCCCGCAGGCAACCAGAGGCCTTACCTACCTCCCATAAGCAAAGCGACGATCTTTGTGGTGGTCTCCAAAGGTGTCCCAGAGGCGGAGGGAGACGCTGACATCATCTACCACATCTCTGGAGCGTTCCAGCACCTGTGGGGCGTGGGGGGTGGGGAGGAGAGGAGTGGGAATCAAGGGCAACAGTGCTAGGGGCCTCTGCATGTCAGCTCAGGGTGGCGCCGGCTCATCTCTGAGGGTCCCAGACAGCATGGGGGTGAAGGGACAGAGCTAGCTGGGGTTCCAGCAGCTTCCTTTGTGTGCTGTGCCCAGCACTTTCTCCGGGCGCCGTCTCTGCAGACGCCAACGGCAAGAGTGGGCTCTAAGCTGGCTGGAAGGGAAGAGCCTCTAAGAGGGCAGACTGTCCTGGGGTGCAAGGGATCTCAGGGAGCCTGCCCTGTTCCCAGCTTCACCTGCACATGACAAGCCTCTGATTTTGGTATTGGCCGAGAGCTTCTTTCTTCCTCATCTTTCCAACACCCCCCCTTCCCCGCAGTGCTCCCCATGACTGGGGGCTCTGATTGCACAAGATGCTGTGCCCCAGGCAAAGCTTGGGTCTCAGGCACCAGCTCAGCCATGCAAAACACAAATGGTTAGGGATCCCTCCCCTGGGGTGGAATCCCCTCAGCCCTCTCTCCTGAGGCTCCCTCCTCTTCAGCTGCCCCCGCCCCATCCCCAGGGGCCTCCGTGAGCTCGGCACACGCCGCCGGGCCACATTTGGAGACACTGAGCTACATCTTGGAAAGAAGCCCAAGTACATGGGGCGGACCCCCAGCCGAGCGGCCTTGCAGCCTTACCTCCTGGCACACCCGATACTGGTCGATGGCCCAAACCGTGGGCACATGGGTGGCGAGAAGCTGGTACTGGGTGAGGGTGGCATTGCAGGCCCGGGCACAGATGAGCCTGGTCTTGCCCACCGCGTTGTCTCCCACCACAACGCACTTGATGGTCTCTACGTTTGGCCTTTCATAATCCATGTCAGAATCCATTAATTGGGACCTGAGGGAGAGGAGTGTAGAGGTCAAGATGGCTCTGCACCCCAGCTCCCTGACGGCCGGGGCCAGCCGCTCTCCTCAGCTGGGGCTGGCCCCTCTGCCAGCATTTGAGTGGAGAGGGGGTGAAAGGAGTGGGTAGCTTTCTGGGCGATCGTTCTGCGGGGCCTGAGAAGCTGGGGGCCCATTCAGGCTCAGAGGCGCAGTGGTACCACGTGAAACGCTCGTCTGCCTCCTGTTGCCATCATCCTCCCACTGGGCTTCTGGCTGGGGGAGGCCTGTGAGAGATCCCACGGCAGAACCTGCCCGGGGCCTGTCCCCGCTCCTCAGGAAGAGGAGAGTCCGGCTGGGAAGCTCACTCATCACCCACACTCTCCTCCTCTGGACAGCACAACAACAAACAGCTGAGAGAAGCGGAGTCCCGGCCAGGTCCCCACCCCTTTCCAGCATGCCGGAGGGCAGGATCACTTTAAAATTTAATGGACTTGTCAGAGCTGGGTGGCAGCTCTCCTGTCCTCCACCTTTGCCTCCCTCCCTCCCTCCCTGGTGGTGGATTTTCAAGCCCTGGCTTGCCTATGGCTACCCTTCAATGCTAACCCCCAGCCTCCTTCAGGGAGATGCCAGAATTTTTCCTCCCAGTCCCTCTGGAGGCACCTGAGCAGCCCATGGGCCTCCCCTCCCCTCCTCGGAGCCTGACATGTTGCCTGTAGGGCTCACTCAGCGGCAGGCCCAGTTTTGAGATGGCAGTGGAGATAAACATGGGCCTGTGACTATTCACTCCATGGCCAGTGGGCCTTCCTGCCCCTACTCAGGCATGCCCTCCAGGCATCCTGCATGCAGCCTCAGGGAGAGTGAGATATGCCCCCTTCTGTGCCTTCCTTTCCTAGGGAGGAGGATTCTCAGGCTGGAAGCCCCCAGACCCCTGGCACACTCCTGGTAGGCTGCTTGCTCAATTGGCTGCATGGGTAATGGGGTTGCTGGGGGAAGCAGAGGGTCAGAGACTTGGGCCTGAATTTCTGGGCAAATGCTTGCCTCAGTTTCCCTCTGTGCTGAGCAGAGAGGGAGTGCCTTGTCCACCCACAGAGGGGGATGGCTCAAATAAACAAAAAGAAGGCCCTCCTATAGTCAAAATGTCATGTCAGTGTTTAAAAAGCTGTCACCAGGAAGGGATCCTCAGCTTGAGGGCGAGGGGGCTTTTGGTGGCAGTCTCCCAGTGGCATCTACTCTCCCGAAAGGGTTGAGTGGAGGAGGCAGGGGTAGGTGCAAGGCAGACGTTGTTAGGGAACTTGGTTTCAGCTAGGTCACTGGCCTGCCCCTGCTCACATTCCCTGTGTGCACAAAGCCAGCTGGGGGCTGGAGCAGCCTGAGGACTCCTTCCTAGGCCAAGGAAGGCTGAGCTCCTAAGCGTCCTGGAGGCAGTCCAGGGGCCCTCACTGCTGAGCCATCCAGCCAGAGAGCCGGGCCACCAGCAGCAACCGAGCAGCTCCATTCGTGCTGGGCTGTAACTGGATGCCAGCATGCAGGAATGCAGAACTGAAATATCCAAGTAACGATGGCAACTGGGATTTGCGTGAGTAGATACATCTCAGCAACCTAAGCAAAAAGTGCAGCAAGGACTTTTCAATGAGACAAGCACCTCCTCCTTCTTGGAATTTTACAGGATCTGAACTCGAAACAAGGGGTCTCCACACAGCCCCTCCCCAGTCTCCAGCGCAATCGTCTGCAGGATTCCTCCTGCCTCCTCCACCCCTCCTCACCTTTCCCAGTGGGCCAGCCATTGTCCTAACCACCATCTTGCCTCCTCCCTGCTCTCTCCTGAGCTGAGGACCAGGAACCCCACTTTGATGGGTCCTGGTCTCAAGTCAGGCAACTGGGAAGGAATCGCCTGGGCTGTAGTTCTATACACTGAAGAACAAAACAGACTCCCCAATAGGACTATGTATAGCTGGAGGAGAAAGACTATAAACCCACTCGCCAGTAGAACTTCTTTCTCAGATTTAGATTCGAATGGCCTGTGGGTGTGGAAGCAGAAGGGGGCTGAGGAGGCACAGAGGAGGGGCATCAGTTCATAAATCCAGGAGCATCTGGACCATGAGGAAGAGGCCAGAACACTGGCAGGGCAATGCTGATTCAAAATCAGAGAGTTAATGGTTAAAAGACCCCTGCACACCTCATTCACCTCTGTGGTTAAGTAGGGGAGAGCCAACCAACAAGTAGGAAGGCAACAAACACTGCCGTGAGTGTAGACAGCAGACCTGCTGGGTGCTTCTCTGGCTGGGCAGCCCCTTCCCATCCACTCTCCAGCGCTCCGCAGCCTTCCCCTGCTTGCCCTCTGACTTCCCCCCTATTTTTATCATTCTCACCCACTTCACCCCTGTCCCAACCGCCTGACTTCAGATCTAGGAAACTTCATATCTAGGAGAGGGCAAATCACTTCCCTTCTCTGGGCATCAGTCTGCCCTTCTGGAAAATGGGTATGAAGGCTTTGGAAGAAAGTTTCCCGAATCTTGGTGAATTCGTGCCAAGAGAGCCCAGCAGAAAGGAGGTATTTGTCTTATGTAATCTGGTATTATATAATGCTAGATTACATATCTATATATGTAATTCTATCTCTCTTTAAGGTACAGACTGGCCCCATTAAGCCAACAGGCAAAACTCTTTAGTCGAATCAGGCCTGTCTTAAACGAGGATCCTGTACTGGAGATAGCGTGCCAAAGCCAGCAGTAATAGAATTTTTGCTTTAGAATATTGCTACTTTACTGTCTCATTGCTGATGTATGATGATACAACCCACTCCATGAGCTTCTCAACTTCCCCTTCCCTTCTGGCACTCTCTCCTTCAATGACTCTAGACTTTTCCGCACAATTGCCTCATCCTCATTCCTTCTGAGCCCCTAGACAAACCTCCATAGACTATGGCTTCCTTGCCATCCTGCCCTGGGTGTCACAACCTCCAATTCATTCCTCTCCCTCAGTAATCCCAGAGTCACATAGGTGCTCCTTCCCTACCCTGTCCCATGATCCCTGTCCCCCTCTCCACAATCAGCCTCCTGCCCACTGCTCTCCCAGCTCTGTGTACTCGAGCCAGGCCAAAAAGCCAGGTGTGCTCAGATTAGCTCCAACCCTCACCGAGTCCCAGTCCCACCCCCACACCCCTACACACTCTTTGCAGAGCCCAGAAAAGCCCCCCTTTCCCTCCCACAGCTGATAGGAGGCTTGCTCATCTGTGGCTGCCCTAGTCTGGTTGTCAAGGAAACGACAGAATCTCCCTGGGAGCCTGGTTTGTCTCCTAGCAACCAATATCCCACATCCTGCATCTTACAAAATGCAAAAAGGGGGAATATCCTCAAAATGAAGGTAAAAATCGAGGAGGATGGAGGGGAAGGGAGAATCGGGAAGAGAAGAACAGAGAGGGTGGCTTTTCACCAGGGTTGCTGACACTGTAATATTGGGGAAGGTGGGGAGATGAATCCCTCCTGCAGATCCAGTGTAGAGCAAGGCTCAAAGGGATCTTGAATGATCATATTAACAAAAAATGCAAACCTAAACACACTCAAAAAAACCTTCTCAAACATCAACAAACAACGCTAAGCATCTCTCCCATAGTTTGCCAGAACTCTGATGCACAGACTGCAATGGAGTTGGGTTGAAAGAAATATCTCCGGAACGGCGAGCAAAGCATCCAAATTCCACTGGTTTTTAACAGAAACATTTCCACCACTCTGGACCTTTATTCCTCCCACGCTGCTCTGCACACACACACACGAAATAAAAATTTTTTTTAAATGGGGAAAGAGGAAGGCCACGACAACGCCAAGGCAATCAAGTCATCTTCCTTTCTCTAGAAAAACCCGGAAAAGGTTAGTCCCCCGCCCCCTGAGGCCCCAGCAGCCAAAGCTATAGCCAAGGGGAGAGGGGGTGCCGGGGGAGGGGGACGGTCTTCAGAAGGGGCGCAGATAGGGCCGGGGAGGGCACAGGAGGGCGAAGCGGCGCGTTTCCAGGCAGCTTGCAAACCGGCCATAATAGAAATTAATCATTTACTTACACCACTACATGTGACGGGGTAATTTCTAGTGTAAGGAACACATCTCTTCCTGCTAAGCACGCTCATTTTAGTGAAATGTCTGGGGTCACTCCGCGCGTGCAAGTTAGGACGATGCCGGCGCCGCCGCGCTGCCGCCGCCGCCGCCGCCGCCGCCGCTGCTGCTACAGGCTCCGGGCCCGGGTCGCGCTAGATCAGAAACTCTGACAGAGCAGCCCAGGCCGGACGGCGGGCCGGGAGCGGCCGCGCGCGCGGCACTGCAGCCATTGCCTCTTCCGGATCAGCATCTCCCCGCGCCCCGGGCGCCCGATGTCATGGAGGCACGCTGGAGTGGGCTGCGCGCGGCCGCCCCGACCTCGGGCGGCTGGGCCGCGCCGCCGCCGCGGGTCCTCTAGCTGCGGAGGCTGGAGGCGACGCGCAGTTGAGGAGAAGGGGGGCGAGGCCGCCGCCGCTACGCGCCCGGCCCGCTCCGAAGGCGCGGCCGCGAAGACGCCTAGCGCTGCAGTCCCGGGGACCGCTCGCGACCTCCTTTTTTCATTCACAAAAAAAGGAAAGGGGAAAAAAAAAAAGAAAGAAAGGGAAGAAGAATGGGGGCGGAAATCGCCCCCAGGACGGCTGCCGTGACAGGCTTCGCCCATTGGTGGAAAGGGGCCTGGGGGCGGGGGAGGGGCGGGGAAAGAAGGGGATTGGGCCACCGGCGGCCCCGCCCCTGCCCCGCCCCTCGGCGCCGCTCACACCCTCCCACCCTGCCTCCCTTCCCCCGCCCGGAGGGAAGAGGCTGGAAGGGTCTCGGCACACCGCCGGTCAGGGCGCAAAACCTCGCTGGACTCCCGCAGGGTTTTCCCCCTTCCTCCGGGAGGCTGCGAAAGAACTCTGAGACGCATCTTAGCCCTGGAAGGGATGCGAGTTAGGGGAGGGGAACTTGACTTATTTTCCTTGCCCCTTAAGCCCAGGCTTCCACCCCTGGCCCTCAGGGAGAGGAACACAGCCTTTCCACACAGGCCCTCCTCTGGCTTGAGAGTTTTCCTGGCACCTGAGGGCCTTCCTTCCCTGATCACCAGCCGTTCAGCTACGGCCTGTGCGGGCCTGTGCGTCCGACTGCCGTGGCCCATGAGCTTTATTTAGAGTGGGTCACTATATCACCTGTACCATCTAGGCCTTCTCCCCTTCCCTCCCTCTTCAGCAGTCTCTGCGTCCATCCCACGCCCATCCTATTGCCACCTGGAGTTTACCAGTATCTTCTGACCTCTTAAAAGAAATGCCATGAAGACACTAGCCCTGGAGACGGTATCTAAGACACCTTTGTGCTCTCCGTCTCGATTTACTGCTCTGTAAAACAAAGAGGTTATTAAGGGATGACCTCTGTAATATGAGCAGCCCTCAAGGGAAGTTTCCATGTTCAAGGCTGGTTTGATTCTGATGATCTTGACTACTGGTAATTACAGTGGCCAGCTCAGTCTGGTTTTATCCATCTTGTCAATTACCTCTGGACAATTTTTTTTTTTTAAAGATTTTATTTATTTATTTGACAGAGAGAGAGATAGTGAGAGCAGGAACACAAGCAGGGGGAGTGGGAGAGCGAGAAGCAGGCTTCCTGCCGAGCAGGGAGCCCGATGTGGGACTCGATCCCAGGACCCTGGGATCATGACCTGAGCCGAAGGCAGACGCTTAACGACTGAGCCACCCAGGTGCCCACCTCTGGACAATTTTTTTAAGTCCAGACTAACATGCCTTCCACCTAACCCCCTCAAGCTTGTGCTCTGAGAATGCAAATCCAGTTTAATATTAGTTTATGCAAAAATATGATTAGGAAGAGAAATCCATTGCCATAAAAAAAGCCGAATAAAAATGAATTTTGTATTCTCTGAAGTATGCTTTCCATCTATGAATGCATACAATTGGACGTTGCCCATTAGTGTATTTGTGATAAATGTGCTTTCTGGCCTGGTCCATGTTCAGTAAGTGCCTGATTGGTGGAGGATGCTTCCCCCACCTCCTTCTGAACCTACCCAGAGCTGGAGGAGAGGTTAGGGATGACTGAGGATGCCGCTTCACTCTTCTGGTTAGGATTCGGTCTCCATAAGGACAGAAAGTACTGGTTTGAATACATGCGTGGGAAAGACACTAAGCCATGGGCAGGTGTGTTCTTCCCAAATGTTTGGTGTTGAAGAGCCTCCGGCCATCCTCTGTGGGCTAGCGGTCACTGCCCCAAAGAAAACCATGGCATGATATCCCTGCATGGGTGTCACAGGAGGCCACGGCCTCTCCCACTGATACCCAGTTGCCCCCATCCAGCTCCAGAGCACCTGCCTGTTGGTTTCCTCACCTTTCACACATCCCAGCAGCAGGGATGGCCCCAGTACAGCACAGAGCAGGAAAACAGATCTGCCCTCTGCCCCAAATCGTGGGGCTTCCAGGTCTGCTTCTATGGAGCCTTTGGGGAAAGAGCCCGCTCAGCCTGCAAACCTCACTGCCCAACCAGGCTGTCCTGTTGGGGTTTGAAGGTGTAAGGTTGGCCAAATGAAGTTGCACCCCCCTGCTCACATTGGGTAAACTGTCTCAGGCAGAGAGAGCCAGGTGCTCCGCTGGGGGACAACACCTTAATTCCCAGTCCCACTTTTGGCACACAATCCTCTTTTTCAGCTTTTCCTCAAACCAGAGTTCTTCCTGATCACATCACCTCTCAGGCATTCCCAGCCAGAGCCTCTTCCAACCTCTCTTCCCTCACCAAAGCCTTCTTGTGACTCCTCCTCCCCAGCGATGTAAACCCCTTGAGCCTGTCCTGAAAAGGCACCCCCTCCCACGTTGCCCATAACCATTCTCCTCAAGGACATCACGAGCTGCCATTTTCCTGAAGCCTGTGAGCAGGAGGCCCCATGTGGGGAGAAAACTCTCCATCCTGGTCCTCAAGAGGGCACCTACGCGGCAGGCTTGCGGCCAGTACCACAGGCCCCCCTCTCCCTATGGGCCTCCCAAAGGCTCCTCCCCAGGGCCAGCCCAAGCTATGCAGACCTCTCTCGGTGTGTCCTTCTCCAACCTGCATGTTCCATTTGTTTCACACAGTTCCAGCCTTTCTCCTCTTGGCAGGCTATTAATCTCTCTTCTGTCTACTCTCCCTTGGAACACATGAGCCTCTGCCAAGTGCACCCCACAGGCCTTCTGACATGAAGCCTTGCCCCCCTCCCCAGCAGCGTGTAGTCTGGGGCACACGGCACTGCCACCCTGTGCCTGGTACCAGCTGAGAGCAAAAGCAGAGGCATCTCAACAGGCAGAGCCCTGTCAGGGTGAAGGAGCCAAATCTGGAAAGTCTGGAGTCTCTCAGCCTCCTCGTCAAGGACCCAGGGAGCACCACCAGGTCTTTATAAGAGGCAGGACACTTCTGGGCCTTTGCTCAAACAGTTCTCTCAGCCTGAACACTGTTCTTCTTCCCACCCCTTCACCTGGATAATGCTTACTCATCCTTCAAGTCTCAGCCTAGACATCACTTCTTCCAGGAAGCCCACCATGAATACCCCCTACAAAGTCAGCAAGGTTCCCTGCCCTTCTTCTGTGCTCCCCTAATAATACCAATCACCCTGCTCTATCTTTGGGTCTCTCTCTTCCTCACAGTACTGAGCACTGTTTAGGGAAGGAACCATGCTTATTCGAGAGTTTCCTTCTTGCTGGTCTGGCAACTAGTACTCAGTAGGAACTCAATAAATGCTTGATGGACGAATGAATGTTTGGGTGGGGCACTTGAGGAGGAGGGAGTTGACACCACCCAGTGTCTACTCACATGCTGTCCAGAGAGGTCTTCCACAGGCTGTACTGGCTTTGTCTTTGGGTCGCCATTGCTCTGTGTTCCCTCCAGGCTCCTGGGGGGCTGGACAGAAGTGAATGGGGCAGGGCAGGGGAAGACAGTGAGAGAAGGAATAAACACACTGTTGAGTTACCCAAAGAGACGCCACCAGCTCGGTCAGCCCAAACAGAGGGTCTACTCAGGGCAAGAGCATGGCTCCTGCTGAGACACTCAGCCTGGAGGCCAAGACAGAGGCCACCTCAGGGAATCAAGGGGCTCCTCGAGGGTCAACAACTGGGTTCATGGTTCATCCCATGCTGCAGGCATTTGCACCTTCTGAGCTTGGTAATTTGAAAAGAGCAGTAATTTGGTTTTGTAATTTGAAAAGAGCAGTCCATTGTCCATCAGGAGGCCTGGGTTCTGTCGTCACCCAGCTGGGTGATGGTGGACAATTCCCTCTCCTCTCTGGGCCTGTTTTCTCATGTACAAGGGTGAGGTCCAGTTCATCCAACATGGATATCTGTTATGGGTTTCTAGCATGGAAGGCTTATATTTTATTGGCCATCCTTTTCACTGAAGAAGCTCCCGACCCAAACTTGACTCAGCAGAATATCAGCTGATGGCCACCAAGGCTGAGAATGGAAGAAGGAAATATTTGGGGGCAGAGTGGGGAGGGATTAGAAACATAGTAAGAGGCAGAGATCCCCATCTTTAGCTTCCTTAAATGGTCAGTCACAATCTTGGGACCAGTTCAGCCAAAGAAAATTCTAGAATTTCAGGAAAGATAGGGAATGATCAAAGAAGGGCTTGGAGAGGCCTGCTGGATACCTCTGGAAGCAGTTGGTACTGTGTGGAGGGGCATCTCTGTGACAACCCTCCAGGGGCAGGGGACAATGAGGCAGAAGAAAGCTAAGGCAAGAAGAGGCGCCCCCTCAAGCCCAGTGTGGGCAGGGATGTGGACAACAGGAGCCCTGAGAGCCCCAAGTAAAAAGAAACCAAAACAGAGGAGCAGTTATTGCAGTAACTAGTGCCAACCTCAGTTCTAGTCTCTCCTCCACCAGGAACTGGCTGTGTGACTTTGGGCAAGGAACCTAATCTCTCTGGTCTTCCACTGGGATAATAATATTACTTGCCTGAAGACAGGGGGTGACCAGATGATCTTCTCATGGCCCCTTCCAGGGCTGAGATCAGAGATTGTGTGATCCCTCTAACTCTTCCTCCATTTCTGCCCTCTCCCCCTCATGGACTTATGCTCAGTACCCCTGTGTAAAGGGGGACCCATCTCCCATCTGTGCCTAGGCTACCTCGGCTGCCTGTGGCGAGCAGTCAGCACAGAGGGTGTGGAGTTCTGACGGTCTAACCTACCAGGGTTGGAAAATCCCATGCCCACCTTGGCCCTGGTGCCCAGTGAGAAAACGAACAAGCAGGTGAGGCAGTGAAAGGAACACAAAGGATCTTCAAAGCCCAGCCAGCCCCTTGCAGCCTTCCTACACCACACTGTGGGGCTGGCGGGGCTGCTCAAAGCAGGAGCTGAAGAGTCCACTCCCAATCTGGCCTGGCCAGGCTGCAGCCAGCGCCTGCTGGCCGAGATCTGAGCATGCAGACCCCTCTGCCCAACCACACACGCCCCTCCACCCTGGCCCTGCCTCCCACGGAACCACAGCTGGCTGAGGCCTCCATGCAGTAAATCCTGCAGCCCTCTGCTCAGCGGAGAGACTGGAGCACTTTTTGGCTTATAGCTTTTAAGAACTGCAAGTACCACCACCATTAATGTCACAGGGGAAGTGCATGATCCACCCCAAGTGTCTTGGGCTGTTATTTCTCAGGACAAGAAGCCACCACCAGGCAGGCCTCCAGCAGAAAGAAGCTACATGGTGTTACTTCTGCCGCATTTTGTAGACAGAAATGTTACAAGTGGGGGGTGAAAATGCACTCCCTAGCCAGTGCACCCAAGGCCCAAGATCCTTCCCTTCAAGCAGGCTGCAGATCTTCTGAGAGGACAGGCTCATTCCTGGAGCCCCGCAGAGCTGCAAGTGAGAAGTTCTGAGGAGGCTGATCACCCCAAAATAGACTTGTTTTTTTTCACAACTTTTTCAAGAGGCATTGGCATCTCTTGAAGCATGGAAAAAAATAGCCTGAACTGTTAACAAATAAAGATTATAAAAAGCCCCAACTGTTCCCCATGGCTTTCCATGTGGCTGCAGTGTTCTAGAGGGGGCAGGGAGGAGGCTGAGAGGGAGGCCAGGGGCCATGTGTGTCCAGAAGCCCCCAGTCTCCTCCTTCTTCCTCCCCTTGGGAGCTGGTCCTGCTAGAGCTCACAGGGATAATAACCCATGTTAGGGATGGGAAAGATTTTTGTTGACCCTCAGAGGTGGTCCACTGTGAGTGTGTATTATTGTTTACTGCTTCCAGATGAAGGAATGCATGGCATGGAATAGGAAATCTTAAAAACTGAGAAGAGGACAGGGTTTGTTTAGTAAACATTTAGCGGGCTCAGTGTTCTTGTCAAAATCAGCTTAGTCTGAACTTGGACCCTGCCTTGGGCATTGCTGCATGTCAGTAACCAGACACGAGTTTCGGGCTGTAGCTGCTTTGGACCCAGGTGAAAGGATTGTGTGGGGCTTCCCAGGATGGGGCCTGGCCCTCACCTGCACTCTGGGCTCCCCTTGCAGGGCTCCAGGCCACGCCCTGCAGAGCACCCCTGCACCCCTTTGCCCTAGCCCCGGGGCCTTTTTGGTACTCAGACATCCAACAACACGAGAAAGGAAGGGATACAAAAGGCGCTGGAGTGCATTCTGGAACTGGGTTCCCGCCCCCTCGGGGTTCTCAGGAAAATCAGGTAGTTGGCCTGGATGATATCTAAGGAGCCTCTGGCCTTGACTTTTTATAACCAGAGGAGGAGAATTCCCCCACCTCCCAAAGCTCCACGTCCTCCACAAAGTCTGGGATCATTCAAGGACCCTTAAGGCCCCCTTTCCCTTCTCCTCCTTTCCTCCTTACCTTTCGTTCTCCCTTTCCTTTGCCGCCACCCCTCCCCCTCATTCTTTCCTCTCCTTTCCCCCACCTCCTGGGCAGAGATTTCTAGAAAAATATCTGCACACGGCTCTGGCTTGGTCAAAGAGAGGGGGACGGCCAGCTGGCAGAACTTTCTTGAAGTGATGAGGGACCAACAGGGCAACTGCATTGTCTCTGGACTTCTCTGGACCTGAGAGTCCTCTCTCCAAGCAGCCCGAGTCAGTAGCCAGCTGCCCTGGGAAATTCAGCCTCTCTCAGGGTCAGGGTGCTGCGCACAGAGTCCAGGGCCCCTGGTCTCAGCCAAAGCATTGCTCCGCAGGGCGAAGCCGTTCCCAGTTTATTGGACCCCAGGGCAAGGCCTGAAGTGAGGCAGAGACAGAGGGTAGAGGAGCTGGTGCTCAGGGTTGGAGGCTTCTCACAGAACAGGTCATCCCTTTAGAGAGATAGCCTGTGGCACTGGTCCCCGGGCAGAGTGGCAGGGGTGGTGGGGTGCTGTCACGCAGGCCCTTGGAAACCTAGTCTGGGCACTTCAAAGGCCACAGAATGCACACCTCCACTTCGTTGGGCAGTTTGGGGCTTACCACATGCCCAGACAAGCTCACCCCTGCTCACCCCACCTTTCTCCCAGCCCACCCTCTTCTTTCTCCTAGGAGACCGGTGCTGAGAGCTGTCTGGGAGCTTGAGCTGTGGGTGGGATCCTGGGGCTGGAGGCAGCCCCCAAAAGGAGACTCTCACACCACCATCTCTGTACCCCGACAGGGATGCCTTGGGGTGGGAGAGCGCCTTCAGCAGACCTCGGCTCACAGCCGCCCCAACCACCATCCTATACATGCAGAACTGGGACCGCGGGGCCGCCCACACTCTGCATCTCCGGGGCCGGGGCCCCAGTCACATCGCTTACTCACCCTGAGACTCGGGGAAAAGATGAGGCTTGTTTGCTCATTCATTCATTTACCTTCTGTTTTTGTGTATCACATACATGTTAAACTCCTACCCGCGCCCGACCCTGCTAGAGATGGTGGAGATTATAAAATGATAACGATGCCATCCCGATCATCAAGAGGCTTAAGCCTAATCATCATAATCATCATTTATCAAAAGCCTGTTATATGCCCAGTATTGGGCTAACGTACTGCTTTACTTACACTTTGGAGCAATCCTCTGAGGAGGGACTATGGTCCCCACTTGGCAGATGGGGAAACTGAAGCTTCGGGCAGCCATGTGACTTGTTACTGTCACAAAACAGGCAGGCCCAAGCCTCTCAGAGGAGACGGCACAGCCCCTGAGCCCCTCCAACCTCATGCCCTGATTTTAGAGCATTAAAGTGCTGTTTTTGATTCGTAGCAAAATGACTCTTTAGCTGAGCAACCTGAGCCAGAGCAGAAAACAGCATGTGCCCCATCGCACGGGGAGTTTACGGCTGTGTGCGGCCCAGCGCTGGGGCCCCTCCCCAGACTCCATCTCTGTGGGCTTCAGTTTACTCATGCGTGAGACCCGGTGGTGCTGGTGGATGATCCACACTGGTTTTGAAATTCTGACCGTGTGAGGTTATCATGTGACGTGTTTTCTGCCATCAGGGAGGGTCGCTATAGGGAGACAGAAGGCAGAGAAGCAGGAATGGACCAGCTGGGACTTGCCTCGCATCCCTCCCAGCCCCTACTCACTCTGCAACCCCGGCCCCAGAAGTCAGGAATGTGGGAATGTTTTCATGCCTCAAGGTGTGGGCTTTTAACTCAGTTGATGGAATATATATATATATCCCATATATGTCAGAGAAACGGACAGGCCTTAATAGCTGGAGATAAAGAAGAATGCCTGGAAGTGGAGGCACAAGGAGGAGACAGAATTAGAGCCCAGGGCAAAGGTCACCTGGAAACAGGGGCAGCTGGGGCTTTAAATGGTCACTTCACAGACCCCCTCAGCTGGTCTGACTCCCCACGCAGAGCCATGCCCCTCACCTTCGCTAGGGCCCACCTCTCCTTCGGCCCCTTGTCTGAGCCTCAGTCTCAGCCTCGTCCCTTCCTAAAGCAAAAGGAGTTCCCTCACTCAGCTACTGCTTTGCAAGGAGGCGACAGCAGCCTGGCTGGGGGTACTGAAAGGTATTGCTTGTGCTAGCCTGAGTTCTTGGCCAGGTGTGACTAGAAAGAAGCGCCCAATTTGGGGGGGCGGGGTGGCCGCACGAGAGGGTGAGGATTAGAGTTAGGGTTGCTGCTCCGTTTCTTCTTGGAGAAATGGATCCTCCTGTTGCCAGGATCAGGCAGCTCCTGGAGTGGGAAGGGACCTCGAAAGGCTGCACAGGGTCCCTGAGTGAGTGGTGATGAAAAGCCAGGTGCAGGAAAACGGGCAGAGCAGAGCTATCCTTGGTATTGGCAGGGGCCACTCGGGCTGGAGAAGGGCAGAGGTAGAGCAGGCCTGGGGGCGGAGGTGGCCCCAGAACCCCAGAAGCTCGGGCTGCTGCTGAGCTCCACCTTGGCCACTGACAGCTGATGGAGTAGGATGAAAAGGGCTCTTGGAGGAGGAGAGACCCCAGCTCCCCTTCCCTCCTGCCGGGGTTCCCAGGAGAGAGTGGAATCCAGGCCTGCCCTGGCTCCTGGCCCCTGTAGACATTGCCCCTTGATACTCCTACATGTGGAACTGCACCCCCCCCCCCCCCCCCCCGCAACACACAGTTTTAGCCTTGGGACGGCTGCCTCGGGTTGCTGGTCCCCAGTCAAGGGGCTGCTGAGCCATGATGGGTAAGACCCCTGATTCCTTAACCCACCTCCCCCTGCTTCCCCATCTCCCTCCTTCGGAGGAGATCATACTCTGAGAACTGCTCCTTGTCCTGAGTTCTGGAAGGGACCAGGTGAGGACAGGTGGAGCCGCCAGAGCTGGAGCTCCTCTCTCTTCCCCAGGCACAGAGAAAAGGCTGGGGGCGGGGGGGGGGGGGGGGCGGTTGTCTCAGAATGGCAGGGCATTGGTCATAGGCTTACCTGCTGTCTTTCCCCTGGGGCCCAGCTGGCCTATCACCGTTCCCTGACCGGAAGCAATGTCCTGGGCCAGGTCAAGGGGAGGGAATGCGTGAGGAAACAATACACGGATTTAAGGGCTGGGATCCAAAGCCCAGCCTATGGGGAGCCAGGTAAGGGTCATGGTTACTGTATCCAGGGGTGGGACTAGCAGGCCGGCCTCCCGGTCAGTTGCCTCCCCGTCCAGGTCTGTGCAGAGCCCAGAGATAAGCCACTTGGACGGGAGGCCCCACTCCCAACTTTGGACAGGTGAGCATTCTTGGTATCTCGGCCCAGCCCCTGACCCCCCAGGGCCTTTTTTTGGTCTGCCCTCAGGCTCTCATTCTGACTCCTGTCCGGGCCTCTCCTCCTCCCTGGTGACTCACATTGCTTTGGAATTTCACTCACTGGCTCTTTCTGACGCACATCCTGGGAGCCTGGCCTAGAGCCAGGGAACAGCGCTGTTGCTTCAACCCCACCGGTGATTAATTTTGGCGACCTGAGCTGGAGGCTATACAGAGGGAAGCCAGGCTGGAGAAGCGAGATGGGAGTTGGGGAGTGTTGCTGGACAGGAAGTCTTTCTTCCTGCTTCTGCTCCTTTGCACTCAGGTAGAAAATGAACAACAAGAAAGGTATTAGCTTATAGCGGTCTGACATGCCGGTCTGGCCAGCCAGGATTCTCGAGACGATTGAGCAATGGAGTTCAAAACCTATACTGGCCACTGTGCTTCTTGCAATCAATTTCTGGACCTCAATTTGCCATTTTGTGAGTCTTAAAGGTTTGATATCCCTCATTTTGAACGCTAAGAACAATGGCTTTGTGCTCGGTTGATGGAGCTTATGTATCTCTTGCAGTGGCTTGGACTCTGTTGTCTCCCCATTTTGAATATGATGTGAGGGGCTGGTGCTGGCTGGGACTGTGGAGAGGGGTAGGGGGAGTGGACCTGACAGTGCACTGGGCTGGGATGCATTCTGCCATCACCCCGACTTGTCCCCATCGGACGCCCCAGCAGGGAAGGGAGAGGATCCCCATGGCCTTCACAGCACTTATCTCCCTTGGGACCCTGGTGCATGCTTCGGTAGCACTGAGTTCTGTGTGCTATCCTCACTCCTCCAGAAGCCGGTTGCTTTTCCCATCCCTTCCCCAGATTGTTCTCCACCTCTTATTTCTCCAGCTGCCTGGGGCTCAAGGATTCATAGTCCCAAACCTGCCCCTTCCAGCAACTCTGCTAAGTAAGGAAAGGGCTCTGTGCCAGTCTGATCGGCTGACCCCTGGGAGCGCATGCATGAGGTAGGGCTGGGGGACACCCTCAGTGTATTCAGGAAACAAAGCCCACACCCCCATTTGTCTAACCCCAAAGAATGACCACAGTGAAAAGAACCATCGGCCAGTTTCAGGGGAGTTGGCCTGTGAGTGAAGATGTCACCGCCCCAGCCCCCTGGGGTCTGGTGGACACCCCACTCGCTGCTACAGTAAATCTGGTCTGTAGGGGGCGCTAGAGAAGCATGCTTCAGGCACTCTTCGCCTTCTCTCTCTTAGCCACACTGGGGGGGACAATGATCATTTTGGAAGATGTTGAAAAGTAAAGGGTGGGGCTAAGGAAATGAGTCTGTACCTCGATACCCATACCAATGATTATAATCGGGATTTATTTTTTTTTTCAAACTAAAAGCACTATTAATAAGGCAATACATCATGACCAGGTAGGTTTAAGAGTTTAGAATCCCAAGTCAGACTGAGTTCAAATCAAAGGAGTTCCACTTACAGGTTTTGGATATCCCACGTATTTCCTTCTGTAGTCATTAATATTTTTAGGTGATATAATATATGGTCCACTAAAATATTACACATATCCAAGTCATAAAACATAATAAGGACCCAAACAACTGCAAACCCCTTACTCGACTTAAAAAGTGTAACACAAGCAACACACTGCACGGTTGAAGCCATGCGCGCGGGGCTCCTCGTTCCCACGTGTAACCTCTCGACACAGGGGCCCCTAGTCGGCATCTGGTGTTTGTCATTTCCCTGAAGATTTAGAATATTTTCTGTCATATTGTGTGGGCCTCCCTAAATAATATACTGTTTAGGTTTGCTTGTTTTTAAGCTTTGAGAAAGGATATTATACTGTATGTGCATCATCTTGCTGGACTTGGCTTTTCTCAGCTTTGTGTTACTAAGATGGGGCCACTCTGCTGTGTGCGGCCATGGTGCCTCCATCTGCAGGGCAGTGTGATTCCCAGGGCCGCGGCATATTATTCCGCTGGCTAGTCTTTGCTAGTATGAAAACCGCTCCTTTGAATGTTCTTGTGCTCGTCCAAGTGCACATGTTCAAACATTTCTCACTGGGTAAATACCCAGAAATAGAACTGCTGGGTTATGGGGTAAGTGCCTGCTCAACTTGACAAGATTGCACTGAAGGGTTTTCCGAAGCGGCCAGTGAAGAAGGGTTCTAGCTGCTGCTGATTCTCACCTCCCCTAGGCCTCTCTGCTGGGTGCATCGTGGTATCTCAGCAGTAACAGTCCGTGTTTCTCTGGTTACTAACAAGGTCGAGTGGGTATCTTCCAACGTTTTGGTACATTTGTGTTTCTTCTGGAGGTGCCTGTTCATGTCCTTTGCCCATTTTCTGGACACCAGCATTTTCTTATCATCAGCAATTTGTATGAGTTATTTACATGTTCTGGAACTAACATTTTTCAATGATATGAAAAATATTATATATTATATATATTTTTAAGTATTAATGTATTTTAATATACAAAAAACATTTCTAGCTTTTCAATTCTATGTGTGGCAAATATTTTCTCCAGGAGTGTGGCTTGTTATATGACTTTCATTATGGTGGCTTTTGATGAACATACGTTCTTATATTGCAGTTGAATTCATTAAGGTTTCTTTCAAGGATAGCATATATTGTGTCTTAAGAAACCCTTCCTTAGCCTAAGGTGATAAATATAGTTTTCTATATTTTTTCTCAAACATGTTAAGCTTGCCCTTCCTGTTTAAACCTTTCTCTTTAATTGATATTTATCAACTGGGGTTTTGGCTAAGAAAAAAGCCCCAGTACTTTATTTTAAAAATATTCCTCTGGTTCTATAATTAACAAATGTACATTAACAAATATATATTTTTTAGAGATTTTATTTATTTATTTGACAGAGAGAGACACAGCGAGAGAAGGAACACAAGCAGGGGGAGTGGGAGAGGGAGAAGCAGGCTTCCCACTGAACAGGAGCCCAATGCGGGGCTCGATCCCAGGACCCTGAGATCATGACCTGAGCCAAAGGCAGATGCTTAATGACTGAGCCACCCAGGTGCCCCTTCATTAACAAATATTGATAGTTGCAGAAAAATATGAAAAATTAAGAACCACTAAAATTTTTACCACCACTCGATATAGCTATCTAAAATACATAATTGGTATATAATATGCCATATAGCATTATCTTCTTTTTTATATCTTTTTTTCTCTGATTTTACATGTTCATAGTAGAACATTTAGAAGTAGAAGATAAATAAATTAGCCACTGAATTAGCTACTGTCCCTGCCAGGAATTCACAGCTGGTGCTTCACATTACTCTGAAATTGTTCCGTGTGCCTCCCAAACACCCAGTGTGGTTACTCAGGAGCAGAGTTCTGTACTGAAGGTCACAGCCATCACCCTGCCAGTAGAGAGTCTCCAGGGTATCCTTGGTCAGGAAGAGACTCTTGTACACCCCTGAATAAGCATATCATGAGGGGGCTGCTAACAACCCAAGAAAATTCCAAACAGGCCCACTCAAATTCCAGAAGAACATTGTGAAATGAGTTATTTAAATGATAACTAAGTCATGCCCCTACCAAAAACCTTTTTTCCTTAGGGTAGGAAATAAAAATATAGGTTATGATTACTATGGCCAAAAGCAAGTATTTTCCCTCCACATTTTACCTCTGCTTTGCTATGGCCAAATTATCAGTCTCAGCATTTCAGCCCTTTATAGAGAAACTATTTGAACTCTGTTTCACTGGGTTGGTAACAAAATAGTCTATATGTTGGTACAAACATGTCTACATGGTGTCTATGTGCCCACTCACGGAGGAGGCAGGGAGAGCTAATCAAGCGAGCTAATCATGGTACTCACTATTTCTAAACCAAGACCAGAAGGTACCTTGCAAGAAAGATGGCGCCTATACCAATGGATTGGAGTTTGCACAGAACCTGAAGTCTAGCTTGTGAGGTAGTTCTACCTTGGTACATCACAAAGACTTGAGAATGAGGGAGTGGCAGGAAGGGGCAGTAGACGGCTGGGAAGGAGATACTGGAGCAGAGCCTTCCACCATCAGGTGGAAAGGCCAGGAGGCTGGGGAGAGATTTTAAAACAAGCATTACCATCTTGCCCAGGGCCTCCTTTGGGCTGCATGATGGGAATAGAGGTAAGAGCCCCAAACCAGTAGCCTCTAGGTTTTCCTGCACATGGGTTCAGCGAAATGGTGAGAAGACAGAGCCGGACATCACTGAGAGCAATGAAAGGCTTCTCTCTTCTAGTTCTGCTACACAAATGCCTGGGCAGGCTTCAGTGCTTAGCCTCTGAAATCACCGTTTATAGACTGGGGCCTCTGAGAGCCCAGTGGGCAGGACTCGGTTGGGAGAGTGGGCAGAAGGGCCAGCTGTACCTGAGCTTGAAGTGGTGCAGATCTTGGGCTGCCTGGGCTGAGCAGCATGGTGCTGCTGCAGCTGGAGCTCAGCTGACTGGGCTCAGGGCCAAGCTTAGGCTCCTCTGGAGCCCTAAACTCCTCCGGAGAACCCAATACTTTCTCGTAAGAGCATGGCAGCCAGAGTATGACTACTGCTCATTCTGCAACCCCTGGAGAGCAGATTTGAGTTGCTTCAGAGGCAGGTAGGAGAAGAAAGGGGCTGCACGGAAGGTACCTACATTTTGTCCCTTTTCATCCTACCTCCCCTTCCTCCCTCCTGTCCCCACCCAACAGAAGGAGTCTGCACCAGCTCCAGCTGTGAATTCCTGGGAGGGACAGTGGCTAATTCAAATGAATCTGGCTGGCAAAAGACTCAGCTCTCAAAACCAGCCTACTTGGAACAATCTCGAAGGGCCTGCCCTAGTGAGGAGAGCATCTCAAGGCTCCATGGAAGTCAAGAAGAGGGTGGGGGTGGGGAGGTCACTGCAGCTCCAGAGGCTCCCGCTGGGGAATGAGATCTCTTTCTTTCAGTCAATCATACAGCTCAGCATAGGTTTAAAAATAATTGTCAGCACAACCAGAGTTAAAAAGAT